CACACACACACACACACACACACACATACATACACACACACACACAAACACACAGACATACGCGCGCACATACACGCATGCACATACACACACACACACGCACGCACGCACGCGCACGCACGCACACACACATACACACACACACACACACACATGCAGCGAGAGACACGCGCGCGCACGCCCAAACGCACTCACTTATTCTCTCATACGCGCGAGCACGCGCACCCACGCGCATGTATGCACACAGGAAACTCATCTACAGACTACACACATGAAATATATATGCGTGCGTGTGAGCATGTGTGTGGGTATCTATCTATATAAATAGGTATTGAAAATATTGTGTACGTCGGTTCTTGCACCTGGTGTTTCGTTTCCCGAGTGTGGCATGAGCCAACAGACTGAACAAATATGTATTCTTTATATCTGGCATTAGCTTTCACTAAAGCTACAGGTATGTGCGCACCAAATTTTATTGATTCCAGCATAGCTAAATATTTGTGCTGACGAGACCACTATCAATGTATACTGAAGATAGTATTTCTCGTCTTAATCTCATCGTATTTAAGATATAATGCTAAAAGTATTTGTAACGGACCAATGGCATGATATGTGTTTCCGCGTTTATCTAGACACCCGGAAATACTGCAATACGATAATAAATTGTCACGATGAGTGGTATATTTAATTATATTATATTATAATCACAACATGTCTAGTCAGAAATAAAATATGTCATGGTAAATAAAGAGTGGGCATCCGATAATTCCTTAATACGGTATATTCAAATAGACTTTAATCGGCCAAGATGTTTTTCATTTACACGGAGTTCGCCTCAAAATTGATGTTTTTAAATAAAATTATTGTGTGGCGTAGTAAGTATCAAGGTGCGAGACGCTAAAAGTAAAGCAAAACATGTCGTTGATGAATAATTAGCATAGTTTTAATCGGATAAATACACTAAATTCTACAGCTCTTGTTTTACCGAGATAATCAAAATGCGTAATTAAATTCAACAATATGGTTTCATTAACAAGGAGGCACGGCTATACTGAGAACACAATAACAGCTTTTGTGTATAGAAATGTTATTTATACTAGCAACATGGCTATAATTAGAAATCCACTGTTTACTACGGATGCATAGGTTGGCTATTACGTACGAACGCGCCATCTGCTGGCAAAGAACAGATTCATTATCGAAGATCAAATGCCCGCTATAACTGTGATCTGATTCCAAGCAGATTTTACACTATGCTGTAGCCTCCTGCCGGCACTTCAATTGACACAGCCCCTGACAAAAAGAGGCGAGCAAAGCTGCTGCCCCCTGCTGTCGCGTCGCTGACCGCACGTAGCATGCAGCGCCATCTGATGTCACAGCGGTACGACGTCGTAAGGGACGGCTGGCTGGCTAGTGTCGGACGTGTTAGTCTGGATTTGGACGGAGTCTGAGGACGGAGTGATATTGGGGACGCGGAGTGAGCGGGTAGGGGGCGACGGTGGCGACCTCAACACGTCCTTGGCGAAAGCTGCGAGAATAAAAGACGCGGGCGAACGCTGCCCGTCTGCGATTTCTAATGCTGCCTGAAACACAAGAAAACAGACGCTATAACGCAATAAACGCATAACGGATAAATATAGTAAACATAGGATAACACGAATAAATAGAAATAACAAATAACGAATGAATACAATAAATGTAGTAACGCAATAATGAATGTATATGTGTATTGTGATATGAGTTGAATATGGTTGCAGAGGCCAGAACGGCGGCTTTTTGCTCGCGTACAAACTAGAGCCAATGATGTCTTTATAGTGGCTCTAACCACGGAGGCGACTGTGGGGGTTGTTTATGTCCTTCAATAAGAATATCAGGTTCACCTTTTACGCTATTTTCTAACTTGGATGTAACAACAACAAAAGTAGCCGTAGACGTTGTTTTTCTCTTCTCTTATACTCGTTCTCTCTCTCTCTCCCTCTTTCTATCTTTTTTTTCTCTTTCTCTTTCTTTCTCTCTCTCTCTTTCTCTCTCTCTCTCTCTTTCTTTCTCTCTCTCTCTCTCGATTGCTCACTCGCTCGCTCTCGCACTCGCTCCCTCTTTCGCTATCTACATTACTCCTCTCTCTCCGCTCCGCTCCCTCTCTCCCCACTGCGATTTTCTTTCCCTTTCGGGTTCTCTCTGGCACGCGCATATCTTTTCCGCGAACTCTCACCTGATGAAGGGTATACATAGCGAGTGTCGAGGGATAGTCAGCTGGTTACTCTTCCACGGCCACCTCCTCTGGTTCAGGTTCAGGAGCACGTGGTTGACTGACGGGTGGCGGTGCTGCTTGCTCCTGTCCAACCACGTCATCCTCGTCGTAAGGCATAGTCCAGATCTTTCCTGTTCTTTTGATATCCGGCGGTGGTGGAGGCGGCTGAAGCGAGTGAAGGTATAATGACACGCGGGTCAGCAAATGTTTGCAGTGAGTGGTGGTATGATGTAAAACCCACGAAACATGGATTAGCAAACTCTGACAATCAAAAAAGCAAAAATATAAAAATGGACACGAATATAACTCGAGCATTACGGAATACATCTGTGCGTCTAATAACATACCTGTGTGTATAGGTCTCTTTTCTGTCCGTATGATCTGTGATCGACCTGTCGGTCATACTTGCTGGCGACCGCCACCTTGGGCTTGGAAGAGAAAAGCAGCTATTTTTACGTTTAGATATTAATACGAGCAACGCTACCTCATATACTTCCACGTGTTAACAGACGTTCCGTGTTCAGAATGCCATGATACAACCTCACGGGGGCTGGTGACTACGTACGCGCTAAGCTACGACTAAGTCCGCACTACGCTAAGCACACGACACCTCCTGCGTGATGTCTGTAAGTAATTCAGACATTTTCTTATGCATCCCTGCGCCGCGACCGGACGCGACGACCATACTTACTGGTAGGGGACTCTCGGCCTCCGTTGGGTCGAGTCCTTTCTTCAGCCTGTGGAAGAAAACATAGTCGTGACTATACTTACGGTGTTAACTCGCTCGCTCGCAGCGCTGTTAGGGTCGCGGAGGAACTTGCTGAAGAAGAACGGGGTAGGCATGTATGAAAATGAGGCGCAGGTCTACTACGCACTACAGTGCGATGATGTGTGTGTGAGCTCGCTGCATAGCAGGTGAAACGAACACGTTGCAATGAAAGATGCATGCTTCTTTAATGCTAGCCAACAGTAGATCAGGTTATGAACTGACGGTGAGAACACGGTTATCGGCTGAGCTACCGCGCATGGCTCACCATATATATATATATATATATATATATATATATATGTGCAGGTTTCATTTGCTCGCCAAGCGAACCCGATATTAATTATATTATTATTTATTATTATATTTATTATATTATTATTTATTATTAATATTATAATTATATTATATATTATGCAATCTTTCATGATTCCGTGTTGTCATGCAGATGGCGATGCAATGGGTGAGAGAGAAAGAACGCGCGACTGACCGATTCCTGTAGCAAAGTTTGAAGCAGACGATGCTTGCAATTAGTAGAGCAAGCGAGAAGCCGTACTTACGCTCTCTGTTTCTTTACTTGCTTCTCTCTCTCGTTTCAACTCCTTCAGCTATAGAAAAGAAAACGGAACATTAGTCTTTAAGAAACCGAGAAGCACATTATAATGCAATCTTTTGCAGTGTACTGGGTCAGAGATCAGGAAGAAGAAGAAGAAGAAGAAGAAGAAAGAAGAAGAAGAAGAAGAAGAAGAAGAAGAGAGAAGCAAGAAGAAGAACTGAAGAAGAAGAAGACGATGAAGAAGAAGAAGAAAGAAGAAAGAAGAAGAAGAAGAAGAAGAAGAAGAAGAAGAAGAAGAAGAAGAAGAAGAAGAATAAGGGCAGAGACCAAGATGGAAACGATGACAAAGACGAAAGAAGAAAAGAAGAAGAAAGAGATCAACAATAATTTTTATAAAATAATATTATTTATTAATAATAATTATATAATAATAAAAAAAACAACAACAACAACAAACAAACAACACAACACGCAAACAGACAACACAGATAAAGCCTTCATCTTCAATCATCATCAATCCATCTCATTATCATAAATCAATCATCATCATCATTATAATAACATCATCATCATCACATCATCATCATCATCATCATAATCACATACTCAATCAAAACAACAACAACCATCAACAAAAGAGGAAGAACAAAAAGCAACAGTAAACAACGACGGAGAATGAGAGACAGAATGCGCTTCGATATTTCGATGAAGGACTTTTTTGAATCAAGTAACGCACGTATGTTTTTTTCATGGCGCCCATATGACGGGGGATCTATTCGGCGAGCGATCAAACACTCGCACAAGAAATTCTGATTAACATGTGTGCGAGAGAAGTGAAACGGGGGGCTGCTAACAGTCAGGCTACTCCTAGGATGAGTCAACGACCGGATGGCACGGCTGCATATACATCCCACCGTCATCGGCAAGCGACGGCAATGTATCGATGATCGCGCGTTGACAGTACCAGCGAAGACTGGATCCGGTTTGCAGAAATAATTTAATGTTGCATCAACAGTTATGGTAGCTGCGATCCGTTAGTCGATACCCGCTCCCCGCGGATAGGAGGGGAGGGCGGTTGAGGAGTATTTATTGATACGTTCGATTAGTTCGAATTTTCGTCGCACGTGTCGTCGAGCAAACAAATGTTACATACACTGAGCACGGAGTGTCCACGAGGAATCAATTAAGGACACTCAAAGACAAGAGTACAGCTTCCTGTTTGATAAACAATATCATAACTCACGACAAACGCGCGCGCGCGCACACGCACGCTACACACACACAGCACACGCATCACACTAGCAGACACACACGACACACACAACCACACACAGGCACACACACACACAACACACACCACACACCAACCCATCCACATATATATTAATGATATTATATATGTATACTGTATAAGTAGCATATCCGCGCTGTAGCACGGTGCCTGTCATAGGAGCAACTTGCCGCTAGTTGTTCATCATGTTGCAGGCGTAAGCCAGCGCGGTGAGGCATCTGCGCAGCATCCCTGCTGCTACTAATCTAGCAGCGAGAATTTAAACGCCAGACGCAGCTCCGTTTGTGGTTGCCCGACATCTGGATGACAGCAGTCATTAAGCAAAGCAGCGCGTGCCTGAGGTCTCATGCTCGCATGACCAGCCAGGGTATCACGTGTCTGCCGCCCTCCTTGGTCTCGAACATGTCTGCGCTCATCTCAGCTTGTTTAACGTCTATGTCGCCGGCCTCCACCGTATTAATATAAATTTATTTTGTTAATTAAATAATTATATTATAATATTAATAGTAATTCCAATATTGATATATAAGATTTATCGATAGAGACCTAACCCACCTAGCGAATCTTTGATAGATTATGATAGTCGACAGATTTGGATATTGGGAAAGGCTGTTTATTGGAGATAACTGTTTTGTGTCGGTGGCAA